AGATAAAAAAGTGGGGGGAGGGGGTGGCGGCTAGGGAAAGAGATAAATACATACAGATAAGTAATAGAGATTTTGTATGACAAATACTGGGAACATGATGCAGCCTTTACTATAAACATGAATTGCTGTTCCAGATTTTGATAGGAACCCTTGGGATTCGAAGGAAAGTATTTCTCTCCAGTATTTTTTACAAAGATATATTTATGAGAAACTGGCCTTTACCAGACTAAAGCAGCATCCCAGTACATCTCATTTAAATGGTTTATCTACAAATATCCAATCCATGGAGGAATGATTGTCTGAGTTTCAGGACCACATGTCTGAAATGGATACACAATGCTCCTAGCAGGGCAGAGGAAAGGCAAGTTTCCCTTCATTGGTGGTATTTATTAAAGCTCTATCTGCTATGAACAAACCACAGTCTGGTCTTCTTACAGGGTGCCCTGTGCTCCTGAGATTTCATGTTTTCTGAGGTTCAAGTTCTGCCCTCTGTTGTACAGGTGTACTGTGTGCAGTAGTACACACACACACACAGAGAATTCTGTCTTCCTCTCCCTCCTTGGTGCAAAGCAGCACAGCTGGTTATCTACTGACTGCTCGGAGGAGGGCCCAACTTCTACACTGATGTCCGCAGTACATATTTGTCAGGGTGCATATCGTACCATTCCAAAGGATCAGTATCATTCCTACTCTAGAGGACCTAGAATCATTCATTTGTGCCACTAGACAGCTCTTGAACCTGATATGCTGGATAGCGCCATCTCCTTGCAGTTGCTTGAAGAATTTCACCCAAATATGTTTCTGGTTGTCTCCAGTTCCAGAAAGTAATAATGACAAAGACCAAAACTATACTTGGCCTGGACAACCCAGATTTAAAATATCTCTCTGATCAGGAAAGTGGCTGTAAAAATAGTTCCTTCTTATTCAAGAGATCTGCCCTATGTGTGTTCAGAGTCAGATCTGCTCCTTTTAATGACATAAGCAAGTTCTTACCGCCATTTAGTCCTGCAGAATCAATACCACATGAGGACAGCAAGTGGAATTATTTGCTGCCTCACACATCATCAACAAACTAGTTCGCTGGTTATGATATAAGAGGCAAAAGAAACAAAGATTTTCAGATCCCAGTGCAGGTTTGCAGCACTGTCAATCTCAAAAATCAGCTTTTGACTACAAAATTGAACCCATTTGACCATGTATCACTGAGAGAGAATTACCCCAGATCCGGATATCAGATACTGAATCCCTGCACAGAAATGCATAGCTGTTTTGCTGACTGACCATGGCATCTAGATCATGTGAGTCTTTTTATCTCCAAACAGGGAGTAGAAAAGGAGTTGTCGGGTGCCTGAGGCAAAAGGAACTAGAGTTAGGGACAGAGACAGAGGGGCCCTGCAAGAAACAACCCCTGGAAACAGCCAAGATCAGGTCCAAGAACTGGCAGGTAGCTTTTGTTTGCTATTATTTAAGTTAACAAGAAAGGAAACCACAAGAAAGTGGATAAGTCTAGATTATTTTGCTTGTGTGTACTGTGTTAGGAGCAGAGTAGGAACACCACCTGTTTTTGTGAAATTTAAATAATAGGCTTTGACAGACCATTTCTGATCGATGGTGCTGATTAATGAACAGTTCAGGTAAGGTAGCAAACAAATAAAGATGGTTGAAGACACAAATTACAGAAAGGGAAAGAGCAGGATCAGAGCATCAGGATGTGGAGTTATGGTAAAGGAGCCCATTAATCATCAGCACTATTATAAAAGACCACATTTTGTGCTGACTTTATGTCCCTTGCAACTCTACTGAAGCCAACACAGAAATTGACCTAAAGTGCACCTCTTAAATTACAATCTGAAGTACCTCACTGCTGTCATGAATGGACCTTCTTTAATACAAATAATGAAATGATTAATGTGTTGTCCTCCTCTAAAATACTAAATAAGATTTGGGTGGGTTGGAATACATGTAAATATGTATAAATATATATAAAATACCCAAGTTAGTAACATTAATGGAAAGTTTTTAACTAATTCTTTGTACTTCCATAGTGCATTCATGGAAGAAACTCAGTGTCTTCAAAATCTTAATTAAGCTTCGTAGCACCCCTGTGGAGTAGATGTTAATATTCTTCTTTTATAGCAGAAGGAACCAAGGTACAGTGGGGCTATGTGACTTTCCAAAACTCACACAGTGAGTCAGTGGCAGAATCACAGAGAGAACCTAGGAATCCTGACACCCAGTCCCCTGCTTCCTTACTGTTATTTGTGAAAGATGTTTTATGCTCCAAAATCCATGTCATCTGTTGGCCTTCCCATCTGGCTCAAGACCCGTTTCCTAAAGTGTTTCTGGATGCTGCTTTCCCTGCTGTGTCTGTCTGTCCGTCTGTCCCCCCCAGTCCCGTCCCCCCGCCCCCAGGTCTGATCAACCTTCAGTTTCATTGATTTTGTATTTTAAATAAAATCAGCTGTGTCATGTATCCCACTACAGCATTTTTTAATATTAAATCCTTAATATTTAATCATTACTAGTCTGATGCGATTAATGCATATTATTGAACGAAAACAGCCAAGCTGTTCAGGCCATGCAAGAAGCTCTCAAGAAAGGAACTATGAAGCTGGCTAAGTGTTCTGGGACTTACAATTTTCTTCATACTCTTCACCCAGAGTGGATTTTTCAAAAATACCTAAGGGAGCAAGGCTCCTAAATCCAGTTGACTGTCAATGGGAGTTCAAATACCTGATGACCATATGTGATTGTGAACAGCCCATCCCCAACATCCTTTCTTCCTGCCATGCTTGGTTATGAACCACAGGGTGAGTGCTGGCCATGCCACAACCAAGGATCTATTAGATTAGAGTCCTAAACACCAGAGGCGCAACAAATGACACAGAAAAAAAGAGATGTAACAAAATACATCTGGCTAACTCTGTCACCCCTTAGACTTGACTTGTGTGAAATTTCTAGGCAATAGACATGTTGTCTGGCTGAAGAAGGACTGGGGGCCTGAAAATCTATTGTGGGAGTTAAACATGCAGATAAACTGTATGATTGGATCTTCTGTAAGGACTTCAGGATTTTGACTATAAAAAGGTGGGGTGAGGGGCAGAATAAAAGACAGAATGACATGGATGAAATGTACATAGAAAGCAAGGTTGAAATTAATAGAAGGGGAGATGAAGGGTGTGTGGAAAACAAGGTAAGCAGGGAGAAGAATTGAAAGGAAATCTTATGCTGAATGTAAATATAAATGAAATCTAATGAAATCTAAATGAATGAAATCTAAAACCATGCACATATTGGGCATCATTACACCCTTGACATTCAACCCTTGATGTTTGTCACTGTGGTTTGTGAAGCTTTCAAGCAAATCAGGAACTGACTTACGGCTCCACTCCAAACATAGGTTAAACTCAGTGGTTCTGAATAAGTTTTGTATTGAGCTTTCAGATTCGTTTAAATATGAAATTCAAAACAAACTTTAGGGAGGGGTGTGTGCCTACAAAAACTGGAACCTCAGAGAAAATGTGTGCTTGAGCCCCTGTGAAGTGTAACTGCCAAGTGGTGCATCGTCTGTCTATACAGATCCAGCTTGCCATTAGCCGTCATTATGACAAAAGGTGTACATTAAACTGATCCTGAAAGTATGCTTTGTGAAATGCAGTATTACAGTGTCATCTAAAATGCACTGAGAGAATACTTAATTGTATTGGTAGGCACTCATTCCAATGTGTCTGCTCTATTAATTAGTGGTTTTGAATATTATTGTGATGAGTTTCCTAGCATACATTCAGAGTAATGCTCAGTAATGTTAATTACCTGTGAAATAACAGTGACACTTTGTAACATTTTTGTTCACCTGTGGGTTTGTTTGATTTTGCTGATAAAGCAAATATTCGTTTTTCTTCACTGATCCTACTGAAAATCCTATATTCATGCGAGTAGCACCATTGTGGGCAGGATTGGAGACACTGATGTCCATGGAGCTACTTGCATGAGTAAAGTGAGCAGGATTTAGCTTGTCATCTGGATGTTGGTTTAAGATACACTTCCATCCTCCACAGTCAACTACCAAAGGATTATAATAGTTAGAGAAAGAGAAGCCCTATTAGTCTAGTCATGGATTCAATCACAAAAGATTTCAAAAATCCCCATATTTCGTAGAGTTCCGATCCAGAGATTTGGTCAAGCCAGTTATAAAAGCAGGAACCATTGCAAAAGTCAAGTCTGGATACTGAATTCCCCCTTCTACCAAATATCAAGGATGCTCGGTTCTGAAGGGTTTTTGGGGCCCATTCTGTATTAGCTCATTGAGTTTACCTCCTCCTCAGGGCAGCATATGGCCTCCAGAGAAGACATTTAAGATATAAAACTGCTACTAAGGTTTGATGTTAGCTGAAAGACTGAGAATAAATTATCTCCCTGGTTGGTTTTTGTCACTAAAGTAGCACCCACTGGTGTCCAAATGAGGAAGTAGGTGGAGTTTCTGCCTTTGGACTGATACACTTTTATTTTAGCCACTGTTTATGTGATACAAAGAAAGCAGGAGGAGAAAGGCAGGTCCTTTTCCTTCCTTCATCTGTATTTTAGCTTAGAGGCAGCTCTTTCTGTCTTCTCCTCTGAGCAGGGTTAGATCACATGATGGGAAAAATTCTGGTGCCCCTTCTACATTAGGGCTCCTGCTGTTGCTCAGTGCAGCTGCAGTCATAGCAGGCAACCTGCAAGACCAGGAAGGAATTCTATTGTGTGGCAGTTTGCTGCTTGATTTCCCCTATCTTACCTACCCAAAATAGTTTGGATGGTTAGGCCATGGAGATGAGGGACCGGAATCTATCCTCATTTATAGCTGGGGTTTCCCAGATGTAACAGAGGACAGAATTTTGCCCTGCTAGGCCTCACTCTGCCATATAGATGTGGAGAATACTGATTAACCTTGCAGCAAATTCTCTCACTCTTGATAAATTATTAACAATTCCCCCATCTCCTTTCCTTTTGTTTCTTTCCAGTACAGACACAGCCTCTCTCTGTCCCCTGCCCCAATGAATGTCTGCACTAGGGCCAAGGCTTGGAGTGATTTACCTGAAGAGTAACACCATTTGGAAACCACTGTAAGTAAATTTTATGTCCTACAAAAGATTTCTTGTTTCAGCAAAAAGGAAACAAAAACAAAAAAACACCCAAAAACCTTCAACACCTGGCCATTGCTGGTTAACACAAGCTAAATTTTACATTACACATTTACCTGGGAAGTAAGTGGGGTGAAAAACAAACCAGTAAAAAAGTTGGTAAGTATTGGCCTGGTTTTGTAGTTCAGCAGTGGTTTGACCTCTTTGCATCTTCTAGCTGTGCCCTGCTCTGGTAGGAGTCCCCTGCCTATTACTCAAGTTTAATGTGGTGTCTTCATGTCTCTCAGTGGTGTTTTGCCCTGTTTTTTTATTAGATTTCTTTGTCTTTTGTAGAGTTACTGGTCTGGTGCAATCATATTATTTCTTGTTGCAGTTCTGTGCAGTGCAGTTTGGTTTCCCTGCAGCTCGTTATAGTTTTGAGTTGCTCTTGTCAAGTCTCAATGATTCTTGTAGTTCTGTATAATTCAGGCTGGGTCTCAGTGTGTCACTGGAGTTTTGCAGAAGCTTGGTTGGACTCTGTGCTTCTCAGTGAAGCTTCCTGATGTTCTCAGTGGGTTTTCTGTCTCTTGTAGTTTCACAGTGTTCTGAAATGAACTCTTACCTGCTGCCCTGGAGGGCATAATCTTATAGTTTTAACCAGTAATGGACAGATCTCTGTTCCTCTTACTATAGGGTTTTTTTTGTTTTTTGTTTTTACTGCTCTAGTGAAATTGACTTGATTCTCACTTGTAGCTTCCTGTTTCAATGCTCAGGCTTTTTGTGCCTCACACTATAGTTTTATCCTGCTCGGGCTGGATCCCCGTGCCATTCTGATCAAGTCTCCCTACCTCCCATCCCAGTTTTGTGTTCTGTTCAGATTTTTCTGTCTCTTGTAACTTTTTGTGGTGCTGCTTTCAGAATTCTGTGTATCTTTCCATCTTAGTTTTGTAGTCAGGTATCTGGTCAGACTTCTGTGCTCCTCTCAGGGTGGGTTGGTTGGTTTGTTTTTAACTGAACATACTCATCTCTCTGTCTTGCATAGTCAGTTTCTAACCACACATCACATATTGTCAATGTCACATCTGAGAGAGGGTCAGGACTCACAGTGAGAAGCACTGATATCAGGAGTGGCATGAGTATCATACATGCAGGCGGGAGATGAATGTGTAGTGAAACACTCAAAAAATATTGCTTAAAAATTCTGATGAATAGCTTGCTCTCTCCTATGTTTTTAAAACCGGAAAAGCCAGATATTTCTATCTTTATATATATATACTGTGTGCACTAACTATGTTAATGCCAAATTATGACTCAAAAAGTCAGTGGAATGCTTGCTTGGGTACTACAGATGCTCCTCATCAGGGAACAGTGGCTGGAGGGAGACATTATGCCTCTGTTAGGTGTAATACTTGGAGTGTGGAGGGTGGAAACTCAGTCAGTAGCAGTCTTTGTTACATCATTAGCAATCCCCTGGCATTGTCCTCCAAGCACTAGCTGATATTCCAGGGAGCAGGGCTTAACCATGACCCAGCCCATCCAGACACACTCCTTCGGGTGTGTAGTGCTGCTAGCAATGCTAACATATCCTTGACTATGCAGAGGGTCACCTGGGGTCATGTGCCCCCCCCTCAGATTTCTGCTAGGGTTTATTTGCCCTGCCCTGAACCCTGCTGCATACCACCAGAACCTTTAAATTGTGCCCTTCCCCCCCCCCCCCCCCACTATCAACAGTTATGTGGCATCTCTGCTTGATCCCTTGTGCTCAGGGAGTGCAAATGGCCTTATTATGACTGCCTCCTTTACAGATGCACTAGGGAAGGCAGGGCTCATTCTAACCTTTTTGTCACCTCCCTTTCCCAGTGCATTCACACAGGAGCAATCATAATTTGACCATTAAATAATAATTCATCTTTGTAGTTATCACTGAAAAGCTTTACTCTAGAGAATGTGAAAGGCACCTGCTCTGTATTTTCTCTGCTGCCATAGCACCCCAGCCCTGCCCACAAATAAGTCCCTTTTCTAGAGGCTGGAGAGTTCAGCCTCCACCTTTACCAACTCACCACCTCCCCATGCTAACAGATGCTGATCTGAAGGGCCTGAGGCATCTTGGTTACCTTTGGGCTCACCTATACCTTACTCAGTTCAGCTGTTTGGTAGTGGGTTGTGCTCTGTGATGGGGCTCAAAGAAGTAACTAGTAGAAACTCATAAGAAACCACTCAGGTGCCCTGTCTCACACACTAATCCCAGATCACGCTGGACTGAAGAGTAACCAGGAGAAATTGAATCTTTTCAATAACCTGCATCAGTTGAAATGGGTTTGATATGCTTCTAAAAGTGGAGAACCTCAGACACAGAGCATTTGGGTCCGTTTCCAGAACTGGGACTCGGGCCGATGTCTGTTTCAAAGGGTCTCAAACATTCGCTAGCTGACATGTGGGAAATGCTAGCAGCTGAGCAAACTAAATTGCCTGTCTGTGAGGGAGACCAGACTGAGAGGTTTGCTTGTTGTGACATGTTAATACATCTGGGGGAAATTAATCCCAAACACAGATAATTGTTGTGAGGGAGAAACCTGGGGAGACGTAATGTTTGAAAGAGACTGAGGAGGATTGCTGGACAGCAAATTGCGTGTGAGTTTGCAATGCAATATGGTAGCAAGAAAACTAAGTGCAATTTTGAGTTTGAGAGGCATCCTGACACAAGGAAATAGTTCTCCCTACCTATATAGCTCTGAGTCTACCACACCCAATCAGTTCTGATCCGTTCTGCCTTTAAAATAGACAGACACAAAAAATTACGCTACTCTACATTCAGTACCTAAAATCATGTTGTAGCTGCATTATTGTGAGATGTCAGGTTTCTAGACCTTTATGACAGAACACTGCAGTACTTATATACATAAAAGGGGGGATACTTCGTTACCAAAAAGATATTGGCACTTCGGCAGGATCAGAGGTTGGAGGGACTGATTTATAAGAAAAGTTTGAAAGACCTACTAAATAAGTGCAGTTTGGTTAAGTGATGATTAATGCATGGTGGGGACTTGATAACAGTCTATGGATATTTGAAGATTATACAGCCAAGAAAGAAGGGGAAATATTTTAAGTGGTGAATATCATGAAACACTTCCCAAAAGATGTATCTGGCTGTGGAAGAGTCTTCCAAAGGAATTGTGTAGAAGCCTCATTACAAGGGCCATTTAAAACTAGTCTGGATGACACCATACTAAATGAACTCTAAGGAACAATCCTGCACTGACTAGTTGAGTAAGATAAATAAGTCTTCGCCATGTCTAACTTCTATGATTCTATACATCGGGGCTATCTACCATAGTGTCCTTTCCCCAGTGTGTTGGCCCTGTTTTCCTTTATAATGAGGATAAAGATGATGATGGTGCCTTGAGTGTTTTCAGACTCAGCTTCAATGTCTGGAAGAGCTAATATAATAAACCACAACCACATACAGAGAAAGAGCGTGGTCCTCCCTGGGGATCAGACCACCCGCACCTGGGGCCTGATTCATAGCCTTATGAAACTGAGTAACTCTGTTAGCTGGCAGTAAATAGGCTGTTCGTTACTAGAAGGCAACATGATCACATGTATTGAAGTAGTGCATTACACTGACACCCACAGGTGAAATTGTTATGTGGTACTGCTAAGTACTGTAGCCAGCTCAGAGGAAGAATCTGGGAAGATGTACAAACTGCAATGACGTTGGAATACTCTATGGTCACTTAGAGAAGCTGCCCCTCCCACCAAACCCAAACCACAGCCATTGTTGCCTCCTTCTCCCATTTGTTTATGCACCAGCCAAATCCAGCTCTTCCATTCCTTTTGACACAGCCAACCAGCGGTCACATTCTGAAACTTCTGACTGAAGTGAGACAGTGCTCCAATTTACCTCCTGGAATAAGGAGATAAGAACACGTTGTGTAATAAACGGTTTGGGATTTGCTGCCTGTCCATAGCACTGACTATAGGAGTCTAAGCTTGGGGATTGGAGAAATGGGGAGGGGACCATTCATAAGGCCTCAGTGCCTGGGCTCCTACATAGGTAATTTCTGATCAAAGTGAGTGCCAAGCCTTGTTTCTAATACGTTTTCTCTAAATTCTAAGTTGGCTTTGATGTTTCCCTAACTTGAGCTTCCCTCCTCCTGCTGGTTCCCTCTCATGTGTTTAAGTTACTTAGATACAGGGAAAGCTCTCTGATCAGTAAGAAAGGAGAGGAGTAATGCTGTGAACACTTATTTCCCTGGTGCCAGACAGCATCATTGCCTCCTTTCCCTTTCCACTGAGTACATGTAGTAGGGCCACAGCATTCTGATTTGGAATAGTTTCTGTTGTGAGGGCCTCCTGATAATATACTGTCTCCCTTGAGAGCAATGGTAGCAAATAAACCCATTCAGAGAGGAAAGAGATTGGAGATGGGGGTAGAGGATGCTATCCATAGTGTCACTGGGGCCACAGCCTATAGTGGACTACATCCACCCTGACTAAATTGGCCTTCAACATTGGTTCTCCACTTGTAAGGTAATTCCCTTCTTTTCATGTGCCGATATATATTTATGCCTGTATCTGTAATTTTCACTCCATGCATCTTAAGAAGTGGGTTTTTTACCCACAAAAGCTTATCCCAAATGTATCTATTAGTCTTTAAGGTGCCACCGGACTCCTCTTTGCTTTTTTAGCCTATAGTTAAAACATTTTCTGGTCTGCCTCTGTACTTGATTCTGAGTGCTTGTGATGCAAGAGAAGTAGAAATTATTTAGCAACATGGCACTCAGGCTATTTCTTCACTGCAGAATTAACTCAAGTTATCGACACTTGAGTGAACTCCTCTCAAGTTAGCCTAGTCTGAAGGAGAGCAGCCACACTGTAAGCTAATACTTGAGCTGCACAGAGTGGTTGGATTAGCAACACACTAGTGTGCACTAGTGTTAGCAGCTGACAAATTGTGCTAATATGAGCTGTCACCTGTACTCTATGATGGGTCAACCAACTCAAGTTAAAAGCATCAACACACTCGAGCGCAGGCTTTGTGTGTGAGGATGGGACATAAGTTAGGGGCAACACTTGAGTTGTAACTCGGATTAACTGAGGTGACGACAAACACTTAGTTGTTGTAAATCTGTTACCACGGATGTTTATTACCACGGATGTTTATTACTACGCCATATGTACAGCCACTCCAACTACCTTGGCCCCCCAGATCCACTACTGGCTGAATAAGAACTGGCATTGCCTGAAAGCTTCACAACTAACAGTGCTGTGAAAGAGACTTGTGTGTGTATGTACATGTGCAGAGGGAGGAAGGTACCGGGAATGAACGGAAGGGGGGATATTTCTCTACAGGCCCTAGGAACTGTGACAAGAGTTAGCCTGTGAGGATGTTTGAAGTGCTCTCATGGACAAAAGGTATACTTTCCTTACTCAAGTTTCTAAAATAAATTGCCATGTGGCAATAGACTGTGTAACCAGAAGTAGATTTTAGCAGCAGAATTGGTATCCAGATTTCAAGCATGCTGGAATTTTGAGGGCTGAGATGCTGAGACGCTCAATTTATTTTTCAGACCTTTCTCTGTATGAAGTATACTTAAAATATTTCAAAACTGTCTGATTTTCATGCAGTTTACAGTGATGCAGTTCTTGCCTCAGTTAGTCAAGTAACTCTGTTAGCTTCAGTTGAGTTACAAATTTGGAATAACTCAACTGAAGCTAATAGAGTTACTTCAGATTTACTCTGGTGTCAGTGAGATCAGAATTTTCAACATATTTGTAATATATGTTGTTCCCTACCATATAGTGTATGGCACAGAGTATTCTCCACTGCGCTAAGCCTCTGATTTTGGGAAGGGTGGCTCCCCCAACATAAAATACACTAAAGCTGCCAGCACCACTGGGGTTAACAACAAATCTAACTCAGCCTCGATTCACCTAAAACTCCCGTCTAAAACCCTGGAGCAGCCTCTTTGGAAACAGAAACATGAGCAGTGGGAAAGCCTCTGAAGGGTGGCTCCCCCAACATAAAATACACTAAAGCTGCCAGCACCACTGGGGTTAACAACAAATCTAACTCAGCCTCGATTCACCTAAAACTCCCGTCTAAAACCCTGGAACAGCCTCTTTGCAAACAGAAACATGAGCAGTGGGAAAACCAAAAAGTTTTTGTGCTTTTCATCCAATTTGGGAGGTCCAAGCAGAACTGACCAGCACAAGACAGGTGCCTGCAGCCATGTAGTTTTGTCCACTGAACCCAGTCACTAGGGCATGAGGAAACCCGGGGTGCTTGGCCTGGATTCTCCATGCCTCTGTGTGTGTGTACTCACCCAGTTTTGCTTTGTGTTTGTTTATGCAGTGTCTGCCTTTTCTTTATTTCTTTTTCTTTTTCACATTTTCCTTCCTTTTTTCTATTGTTTTACTTTGGGTTTGGGTGCTCGGTTGGGTTTTATTGGTGGGGGGGGGGGCCTGAGGGCGGGCCTGTTTAACTTTTTTCACTTGAGCTTTCATTTTCCAGCTGAGGAGACACTTCATTGGAGTGTGTAATTTTAACACTTACGGCAAAGAATTTAAAAAAAAAAAAAAGAAAAAGAAAAAGCAGCAGCTTGGCAGACTAACCTCTGGCATGGTGACCAGGAGGAAGATTCTAGGGAGGTTTTGTCTCACTGCAATGTAGCCTGGAGCCAGATGGTGCTTTGCTGCCCTCTGAAGGTGACCAGCTAGAACTGGCAGCCACCAAGGTTTGACAAGAGCTTCCACATGCTATGCCCTCAGATATGCCAGGCTTATATAATTCTTTTATATAACCGGAGACAATGTTCTCGATTAATGGCAAAGTGGCTTTGCTCTCTGTTGCGTGATAGATGCTCTTTCTTTCTTGTGTGTGTCTCTTTCTCTCTCTTCCCCCCCCCCCCCCCCTTTCTGGTGCTTGGACCCTAGAACAGGTTTTGTAAAATCTGTTAAATAAAAAGATAGGCAAGAGGCAGGACTATTTCTCAAAGGTATGATTTTGCTGTCTTAATGAGCCTGTATCTTTGCAAGACACATTGAGTGGGGATTTTGATGGTGGAGAATATAGGAGAAATCTGGTTGTTTTGTTTATTTGCATTTACCAGGGCAATAGGCACTTCAGAAGGGGCTGCTGACATAGCAACCATTCCAGTCGTTTAAGGAATTACGGTGATGGATGGTCCAGTGCTCTGTTTGTAGAATGGTGCTGTGATGTGGGGAAACTGGGTAAAACAACTGGAGAACCTTCAGTGCTTCTGTAACACAAATGAAGATCTCCCTGGGTGAAAAATAATGCATAGCTGTTGTTGTAGAGAAAACATTTTATTCCTCAACAGTTATTTGTGTTTTAAGTGGGCATCATTCTAGACCAAATAAGAGCTTTTGAAATCAGGTTTCATTAGGTTGTACCTATGAACAGCAGTATGTGACACATCCTGCCATCAAGGCAGGTAGTACCTGAATTGCTATGTTTACCCCCCATAACCTTCTGCTCACTTCCATGAGCACTGCACCTGCCTGGATCCAGACATACAGTAGGACAGCCAGTCTGCTGGCCAAAAGTTACAAGTCATTGCTTCTCCAGGACAGTGATTTTGCAAATTAAACACTGCAATTAGAGCTTCAGCTGTAACTTACTTCTCTAAAGAGGGAGGTAGCATTTTCTAGGATTTAAAGCACAGAGATCTGGGCTTTTTTCCTTTCTGTGACAGACTTGCTGTATGCCCTTGGGCAAGTCACTTTCCCTCTTCATGCCTTAATTTTCCCACCTGTAAAATGAGGATAATAATGCTTACCCACCGCACGTGGGATTTTTGAGGCTTCATTCTGGATGTTTCCAAAGTGCTTTGAGGTCCTGGATGGAGTGCACTAAGGAAGTACAAATATTAGACTTAGCAATTAAGGGCTTTCTTCTTTTAAGGGAGGTAGAGGAAGCCAACATGCAGTGTGGCTATTGCTGGTTGTGTAAGGTTCCAAATCTTATTGCTTCACCAGCATAGATGACCTCTGCCTCTCTAAATTACCCCCTTTCACCATCCTTGCCCCCTGCACCCATAATCTTCTTCATAAAGAGGCAGCTTAACTTTCACACTTCTTGAACTGGAAACAACAGTGTTTATTTGTTTTCCAGATACATTTGCTATATATTTCTGTATAACTTTAAATTCAGAGTGTTACAGCGTTGATCAATATTTGTCACATGGAGCTCAGACTGTGTAAAGTACTCAGACAGGTTTTAATTTATATGTAGTCAGTAGGGACACAATGGGGAGCTTCTGACTTGGTCTGTATGCTTTAATGTGGTCTCAGGGCCATTGCATCAGAGTGAAAACAAGGAGCAGCTTGTTTCCAAACAAGAGGCATGGAGTCCTCCCTGCTACCTCCCTTTAAGGAGAGAGAAAAAAAGCAAGTTATCTTTAACAGATTCTAAAAATGCCTTTTCCCAAATATGCAGTTAGTCCCTTCAAAGGTTTCTTTGTTTATTTTCAGGAAGAAACCCAAGACAGCTGAAAACCAGAAGGCGTCTGAGGAGAATGAGATTACTCAGACGGGTGCATCCAGCGCCAAGCCAGGCCTTCCCTGCCTGAACCTTGAAGCTGTTCCGCCTCTGAGCCCAGCCCTCACCCACTCATCACAGTCACCAACAAACCTGCCCGCACACACAGGGTCATCTGATTGTGAGTACACCAATGTACTGACGAGTCGCTGGGAGCTGGTGAAATACCATTCCACACTGTGGACCAGCTTTCCCAGCCTGTTGTATGTTGTTTCCATAATGTCATCAGCAAGGCCTCATCAGCCTTTCCCTTCTCCCTTTTTTTGGCCCGCTTATCTTCAGAATATTTTCCAGGAAGTTTTCTGTGATAAGATCGTGATTATTCAGTCAGCCTAAGAAAGCTGAGAGAGTTTCACAGATCAGGTATGCAAGGCTGGCTCTAACTTCTGTGAAGTAATATGTGCATGGCTCCCCACCAGCTCCCTCCCTACCTAGGACTGGGGTTCCTCATCTTCGTGTAGCTGTTTTTCTCCTCATCCCCGCTTGTCTTCTGACTGGAACACCAACCCCACCCCAGGCCACAATGGAGGACAGCAATTAGGGAATGCAAATCTCTAGCAGACCCCGGGATATAACAGGACTTCAGGCAAAGAATCCCGGTGATGCTCTATGAGGTGAATTGGGTTTAGGGTGTTGGGGACCTGGAAGACTCAAGGCCCAGTGCAACCAGATAGGCCAGATGCCTTTGCTGTTGATATGTTTTCAGTGTATTAACTCAGAGATGGGTCAGCACAGATTTCCAGGCCTTTTTAAAATGTTCTTTTCCATTTCATCCAGGACACCAACCCCCCCGCCCCCCCCCCAAAAAAAAACGCCAAAACAAGGAAATGAGCAATTGGAACTGGATTTTGAAAAGGCAGAAATACACAGCAGATCTTCAATAGATTGAAATTTTACCAGCATCCCTTCATTGGGTTATGTCAGCCCTCACCGTCTCCATTTTTTAGGGGACATAGTTTACCTCTTTTGGAGTGGTTTTAAGATATTGTAAAATTTACAAGGGGAAAAAGAAGTAAGATGAAAAAAACAGCTTCCAAGAACTCAGAAGTCAGCTAAAGTTTGCAGAGGTCAATAAAAAGAAAATCTAGGCATGGCAATAAAAATACCAGATAAAAAATAAGATATCATTTTCTTTTTTAATTTAAACAACCTGCCTGAGGGCCAATCTTGGAAGCAAACGAGTTATTGGGATAATTGCTATCCAAATCACTTCAGTGGCAATTCATTCCTGCCACCTTCTGACTTTATTCATTATGAGCCTCTTCTTGAGATCTCAATTTTAATAGAACCGATAAACAGAATCGGGAGGCTTCCCTAAAGCTAGCCCAGTGACCTGGTAAAGAGAAAGAGACATGAGACAATGGAAAAGGAAGCACCATACAATTTGCAAAAGAAAATTCTCTTCAAATTTGAGATGCCTGTCACTGGATAAGACTGGGATTCGGGTTTGTTTTGTAAGGTGGTTGAAGCACTGGATCCTGATACCAGGTATCTGAATCTATTACAGCAGGTTACATGAGTCCTTATTTATTTTACATGTATTTGGAAAAGAGAATTTTATGGACAATATTTTCAAAACCAGATTTGGAACGTGCACTCACTATTTTACATGTGCAATCACTTGTGCATGAAAAAACAACAAACATTTACAAGAAGAAAAGGAGTACTTGTGGCACCTTAGAGACTAACCAATTTATTTGAGCATGAGCTTTCGTGAGCTACAGCTCACTTCATCGGATGCAACGCAAAAAGAAAAGGAGTACGATGAAGTGAGCTGTAGCTCACGAAAGCTCATGCTCAAATAAATTGGTTAGTCTCTAAGGTGCCACAAGTACTCCTTTTCTTTTTGTGAATACAGACTAACACGGCTGTTACTCTGAAACCAAACACGGCTGTTACTCTGAAACCAAACATTTACAAGGTGATCCTCCCCAGAGTATCTGGGCACTCTGTACATAGCTCAGCTTAAGAGCAATTTCCTGAATATAGGTAGCAAATACACCAAGACAGCCAGCTGCACCTCATCTTTAAAAGACAAAGACGAAGAAAGTCTAGGCAGTAGTTTGAATGCCAAGGGTGCTGAGGCAAGCAGTTAACAAGAAGTCTGTAAAAAGAGATGTATTATACAGTGCTCTCTAAGTGCCCCATCCTGTGTGGTGAGTGCCCCCTGTGTGGTTCTGTGTGCCATCAACCTGCGCTGAAGTCACATTGACTCTGCCCCATGTAGGATTGGGTCTTAAATGTTCCTATTCTTGGGCTTAGAAATATTACCAGTGAGAGGAAATTCCTGAAGCAAGGACTTTCAGTCTAGAATGCATTGCCTCAAACTCCCATCGCCTTCTCTCCTGGGAGAGATTAGCTTAAGCGTTCTAGGCAAATGTAGGTGGAATGGCAGTTCAGAAGGAGAGGTGGTTTCTGAGATAGCTGGGTCCTAGTTCATGTAGGGCTTTGCAGACAGAAACCAGTACCTTGAATTCCCTTGGAGTTATACCAGACAGATTTCTAAATACCTCATGGTGTACATGCGGATGCTGGTGTGCAGAGTGAAGAGTTGTGAAATGTGAAGAGTTTGGGTGTAAATTGCAGACACAGGCTAAGAGCTTCCATTGAAAATCTTGCCCTATATGTTCAGAAATAGTTACAAGGAAGCAAGGGGTTATTGTCAGATGGTGCACATATTCCACACACTTTCCTAATCTCCCAAAGAGCAAATGGGAATAGTTAGTAGGGGCCAAAACCTAAGGCCATACTCCACTTTCTACTCGAGCAAAACTCCCCTTGACTTCGATGCATGTAGAGTGAATAACGACTTCAGAACATGGCCCCATGTAATAGGTTAGGCTTTCAAAAGTGTAGATAACACAGGAGTTGTTCAAACATCAATGGCTATATAGACCTATGTTTGGGGAGTTCCAAAAGATAAGAACATTCTGGCAGAAAATTTCAACAAATGCTTAAGGATATAATAAAAATAAAGCTTCATTCAGACTCTGCTATATATACATATCTTAGCAGATGTGTCTAAACTCATAGGAATCTCACAGGAACAGAGCAGCTGAATTTCTTTGTGTCTGTTGATAGTTAAAAGCGTTATTCTTAGACAGTGGAAGGGCAAAGATGGCCCGTCTATGGAGGAATTTGTTCCAGATAAGGGAAAGACAACACCTTAGCAAAGAGTTTCCATGGGACTGAGGAGCAGGTTGGATGATTATTGAAAAAAATGGGTGGTATGGGGTTTATGAATTAAGAGGACACAGAAAAGGGGGCTGGCCTGAAGGTAAATTGTCACAGTGAGTGTACGTCCAAGCAGGAAAGTAAGACGAGATGAAGAAGAAACATGAAACAGCAGTAGTAGGTGGAGGGGATGAAGGGATGTGGAGGTCATTTATTTTTCATTGGGGGCCAACACGGTTCTTGCATATAGAAAGGAATGCACTTTTTAATCTCTGGCAATGGGCCTGAACCACAGCCCTCTGTCCATACACCCCCACATTTTGTGCCTGTCCAGATCCTGGTTTGGGCTTCACAGCATTGCAGACCAGGACAGAAACATTGAGCCAGATTCCATTTGCATTTTTTTCTTAAAATCTGACTTTCTTATTTTGATGGCTGTTTGCCTTTTAAACTCCACGGGGCCTCTAAGGGAAAGGGAGAGAGAGGGAGGGAAATATCCTTCAGGATTCCTAAACTCCACAGAGTACTGAGCTAGTGGGGAAGGAAACTCAGAATGGTATTTTTCCTGAGCAATCAGTAAGGGTCTATACACCTTCCTTGTGACTCAGTGGGGCTGCTTTCCCTAGTGCTAGTGCTGGGTTTTGTGAAGTTGCAGGTTAGTGGAATTTTGTCATTTCCAGTTTTTATGTTTTAATCCTTCTATGTCCCCCCTCTGAGGTTCTGTAGTAGGAACAAGATGGATGTGTATCCTCCTGGCCTCCTGTCTCCTTCTCCTGGGCTTCACTGCGCAGCCCTCCTACAGACTGCATTGGGACCTTACAGCCCAGACAGCACAGGGGAGATGCTGGGACACATTGTTAGAATGCACCTCAGGAGGGCCCCAGTCCTGTTCCCATTGAACTCCAGGGAAAAACCCGTGTTGACTTCCTTGGGTGCAGGGTCAGACTGCGTGTTCACATTAACAGTTATCTCATCTATATATTTTTTAAACTGCATGTGATATGGAATGGTATTTCAGTTACGTAGTCAATGGGTAAATTTTCAAAAGCACTTAAGTGACTTGGGCTCCAAAGTTCTATTGGTGATTAAGTCAATGGCACTTAGGCACATAAGTCATTTAGGTGCATTTGAAAACTTTATGTAATGACCTTAATTGAGATCTTAATTGCTAATTCCCTTTTTGAGTGTCTTTAATGTTAAGTTGATGAAGTGTTGTCTGGTCTCATGATATTTGGTGCTTTTCGTAAAGCCCCAGCTCCTGGAGTGAAATGATTATGTGAGAATCTCAGTTTTCCTTTCTGAAAGAAAAAAAAAGAGTTTCTAGCACTCGTGGTTGCAGAGAGGAAAAAAAGAGTTTCTAGCACTCGTGGTTGCAGAGAAAAGCTTGAAAATATGTCCCCAGTGTATCCTAAAGATTCGAAAACCAGAAGGCAAAGAGAGAGAGCCAGGATTGTATTCATTTATTTATTTATTACTCCCATGATTTTTGGACACTTGGGGTTGGCAGTACTGTGATGCTTTTGTCTATGAGTCACATTACACTCCCCTAGATATGTTACAGCTATCCACTAACATTTCCCAACTATTTTCCTGACTCTAAGGTAAAATGTGCTGGTCTCTCTAATTCTCAAGGTCACCCATTAGTATCACTCTTTAAAGGTGTGAGTCACCCTGTAATCCCTCAATTACATACTTGTACTAGTAGCTCAGCAATTTCATTCATAGTTCCTTGATGAATGCCATCCATTACAGTTTAATTTCTTAAGATATTCTATTACCTCCTCCTTTATTTATTTATTTGTTTGTTTATTTTATAATGTTCTCCTGGACAGTGCCATCACCTTCATACCCTGGGATCGTTTTCCTTGCCCCATCATTCTCCATGCTGAAAACCAATGCTAAAAAAATCACATAGATTGTGAAATTTCTGTGTCCTCTTTGATTACCCTACCTTTTTTACGCACCGGTGGCCTACCTAACCCACTAAGTCTCTTACTTGTCTGTTTAATCCGTCTGTCCATGCTATCTAAGGTATTTCTTAGGCACCACTCATTGCCTTGTGAGCTTCTTCTTTCTGATGTATTTAAAAAATTTGTTATTACAGTACTTTCTTTATACCTTCAGCTATTTTTCTTAAAATTTCCTCTTCATTTCTTTAATCTCCATGTTACATCTTGCCTGGTACAGTTTATGCTCTGTTCTATTAGCATCACTTAGGCATGATTTCCATGTTTGGAAGGAAACTTTTTCAGCCTTAATAAACTCTTGTGCCTTGTTACTTAACCATCCTAGTGTTATTCCACTTCCTTTTTCGATTGTTGCTGTTGACTTGGGATATGCATATTGATCCTAATAAAGGATTTTTAAGGCCACCTCCCTGCTGATTTAAGGATTTTAATTTCTTATAATTTCCTTTCAGGCTCTTTCAAACTAACTTCTTCAGTTTTCTTATTAATCCTCCTCCTTGAAGTTGCATGTCAGATCCTACCTTGTGATATGATCCTCCTGCAAGGGTGTCAAACTTAATAATATTCTGGTCTCTGTGATTTGATGGCTTAACTATACACATTTCCTGAGCCACCTCCTACTCAGGTGTGTGAAGACTTTTAGTTAAGAGAAGCTCCTTCCTAGTATGCTCCAGAATGAGCTGTCTCATACAAAAATTATGTGTCAGCAATTCCCACACTTTTGAAAGGTGAGTCTCCCATCAAGAAAATGAAAAGCAATCATACCCCTTTCAGCACTACCACTTGGTGTTAAAGGCCTACTCGTCTTAAGGTACACACCTCCTGTGCCCCTTCTGGCTAGTCATTTGCACTCCCTTAGGATGCACAACCCACACTTTAGGAAACATTGATTTAAGGGATCGAGGAATTATTAACCAGACCATGTCCTGTTACCCAACTACTTTGGGTAACCAAAGTTTACAGTTATTGGTAGGATAGATTTTGTTGTCATTCTGTTCTCTCATCACTCTGAAGTCTCCGGCTTAGGAACTTTTTGCTACCCTCATTCAGTGTTCCAGATTCACTTGCTCTGCATTTCTCTTGCTTTCTCTCTTGAAAGCAGCCTTAGTACCTTGTGCCATGATCCCATTCAGTCATTCCAAATAGGGTAGGGCCTGGTCAGCACCTGAAGGAGAGGAAAAACCCAGGTGCTACTTGAAGAGCTGTCCTTGACTGAATAGGGCTCTCGCATGGGCTGTGCTGCTGGAGATACTAAACCATAAAATTGAGATCCTAGTCATTACAGTCCATAAATGTTTGCAAAGCATTTTCGCATTCTCTGGTAGAAGGCACTAGAAAAGATCATAGTATTACAGTACATACAATATGCTTTGAACTATTAGGGGGGAAAAATAAGGTATGTGTGACTGAAGGGTGCCACCCAAACTTCTGACCGACCTGCTGCTTTTATCAGGGATACTGTGTCCTACCAGCCTGCTGTGTGATGATTGAACACAACTGTCTGTTTATGGAAGCATTGTGTATTTGGGTTCCGTAGCAATTCAAATATTACTATTTATAGTGGCACCCACAGTGCGTTCAGTGCTGTCTCAGTATTTATGTTTGCTGTGAATGTTTTCGTCGTTTCATGGAGTCATTTCTGAGGACAAAATAACATGAGATCTAGTGTTACATTTCCACCATTCAGGAACTGAAATAAACAGTGAGAAGTCTAGATCTCTAGTAATTCATCACTATAAAAGGTTCCTTGAGGTGTTCTCAAAGCCCATGGCACATGTAAAAACAAATACTAGAACTCTCACGCATCCCTAGTTTGTGCAGTATGCTTGGCTATGTTAAACACTGAAAAGATCTCTGCATAGGTAGGATACACAGCATACCCTGAACCAGTATGTGACATGTGGGGCTAATGCTTCTCCGTGAAAGCCCCCAAGAGAGAAGTAGTGTGAGTTAAAAGTAGTCTCCCAAAAGCTATTTTTCAGTTTTAACCAGTGACAATGGCAATATTGTACATCTATTAAAAATCTTGAAAAGTTCTTTATACCTAGAAGAGAGGGGTGGTAACATGTAATTTATTGATGTTATACAGATAGAGAAAAAAGACAAAATAGATTTGGGGGCAGGGGGGAGTGTGCTAGAGGAAATAAAAACAAAAAAGGTGACTTCTCAACACAGATTCATCGATACCTTAGAATCATAGACTATCAGGGTTGGAAGGGACCTCAGGAGGTCATCTAGTCCAAGCCCCGGCTCAAAGCAGGACCAATCCCCAACTAAATCATCCCAGCCAAGGCTTTGTCAAACCTGACCTTAAAAACCTCTAAGGAAGGAGATTCCACCACCTCCCTAGGTAACCGTTCCAGTGCTTCACCATCCTTCTAGTGAAAAAGTTTTTCCTAATAGCCAACCTAAACCTCCCCCACTGCAACTTGAGACCATTACTCCTTGTTCTGTCATCTGCTACCACTGAGAACAGGCTAGATCCATCCTCTTTGGAACCCCCTTTCAGGTAGTTGAAAGCAGCTATCAAATCCCCCCTCATTCTTCTCTTCTGCAGACTAAACAATGCCAGTTCCCTCAGCCTCTCCTCATAAGTCACATGTTCCAGTCCCCTAATCATTTTTGCCCTCCGCTGGACTCTTGGGGCACGCCGCTTGATACCAGCTGCCAACTAGACATGGAGCCATTGATCGCTACCCATTGAGCCTGATGATCTAGCCAGCTTTCTATCCACCTTATAGTCCATTCATCCAGCCCATACTTCTTTAACTTGTTATGAAGTTAAACTTCTTTAACCTTATGCAACCACGTTGAGTTTAATAGGTGTACCTTGTGCTGTGATCCCTTTCAGTCATTCGGGAAAAGGTAGAGCCAGGCCAGTACATGAATGAGAGAAAACTCCTGCTTAAGGTGATGTTTTTGACTGAGAAGAGTGTGGGATGTAACTGAGGGCAGAATTTGACCCACAGGTGATAACTGTTATCCACTATATTAGTATCCCCTGTTAGTGTCAGTATATATAGCACATCAGTTTTTCTAATTTTTTTCAAATGTTTTACTGGAATATTAAAAATGGCAATATCTTCTTATTGTCATAGATCAGTCTAATAACATCAAATAACCCTAAATGTAGCCTAGGGCTGAATTTGTTTTTATTACTTAAAGTTCCCATCACACCAAAACTAAACGAGGTGATGTTGGAGATATACCTTTGCTTGTGGTTGCACAGGTGTAGCTGAGGACAGAAATTGTTTTAGTGTGCTGTAATGTCCAGAAACAAAATCATGTCTTATGCTGAGTATGTGCCACTATCACTCTGCTCATATGGGCTAGATCATAAGCAGCTGCTGAACAGCCATGCAGAGATGGAAGGATGCACAGAGCTTCTTCCTGCATGGTGCTGTAAAAGGACCTTTCACAATAGCTGTCTGTGCACTCCTAGCCTCTGGTGTTTCTTCTGGGGGAGACAGCTCCCTCCTTTCTCTGAAAACTCAACATAAAAAAGCACAGTCCAACCTTTGAGATCTCTCTCTCTCTCATGTTATTTTTTATGTGTGTGAAAAACTGATCTTTATTTTCCAGAAATATACAAACTTATTCTCTCATTTCTCCATCTTCTTCTACTCCTCTGATGTACAGGACATTGTTACATCTTATCAAAACTTCACCAAGGTGTCCTGACAATGCACCATCTATGTATTCTTCTGTGTTTGCAAGCTGCATGTTCATATAGCCCTTGTACTCCATCCCCCACTTCAGCTTCACCATCACCGGCTTCCCCGTCAGCCTGTTCAGGAAGGGCTTGGGGTTCAGGGGCAAGCTCATGGTAACACGGCCTGGCACGAGGCAGCGGTAAAAACAAAAATTACTCACAGAGCCGCACATGCACCCGCTGGAGTCTAGGTTGGAAAATTTACTGCAGCAGCTAGTCTTACTAGTTAAAAATTACCCTTTAGTTAACAGATCAAGGAGACACATCAAAAGACTAACCAAACAAAGCATTCTTCTTCAAGTGATGTCCCCATGGGTGCTCCACTGTAGGTGCGGCAATGCCTTTGGGTCTGGAGTCGGAGATCTTCAATAGCAGTGCCCATCGGACCAATTCCCCTCCCTCGCGCTGTGCGTGGGACGTATATATAGCGCTTTGTGGTCTGACCGCCCTCAGTTACTTCTCTACCGCCTGATGTCTGATGGTAGCTTCTCTCCAGACAGAAACCTCTTTCCCACTTCTGGCTAAGGTTTTCACAAGCTGCTTCCCCACTCCAAGTTTTTCCAGTCAGCCACTATGTCTGTAGATAAAACAGATTCCACATGCTACTTCCCTATAAAGCTTCCTTTTCCTTCACAGACTGCTACAAATACTCCCTATAGAGGGATACTGGGTTGAGTAAAAACCTTCTAAACAGGTAATTATCTTAAGGGGGTTTAATCTATATTTTCCTTTTAACCAAAGCCCACAGGCTTTTAGACTTACTGTATTTAACCACACTCAAACTGATACACTTCCTCCCAGTCTTGGGAAAAGGTAATGATACAGGGGCAAATCCAGAGATGCCTAAAGGTTAATAGTTACCATTTTGGGAGATGGTCGTCAGTGCAGCAGTGCCAATTATTACATTCACTCCCCTCCTAAGGACTGTTTTCATTGATGATATAGATCCCTGAAGTCAAATGCAGAGAAAAGAGCAAGAAGAGCCCACATTCATCTTTCTTATGGGGCTTCAGTCTCAGGGGCACCTTGAGGGTTTGGTCAAAGTCCATTGAAGCTAATGAAAACATTCCCAGTTACGTCACTGGGCTTTGAATAAGGACCTTAAAGAAGAAAGATACATCACCAGGGAAGCCCACATTTTCCTGGGAGCAAATTCTTCCCTTCTCCAGTAAACATCCCTCCATTTTAAACTTGAAGGAAAAACCCTCAAAGACACAGTAACTTCATGGGCATTGTTGGCTCCATCTCAGTAGATGATACACTGTAACAAGCACAGCATATCCTATGAGTAATACAAATTGGCTCTGTGAGGGAAATACTAGCAATAGAGAACACCCGGATTTTAGTCAAACAGCCTTAAACCCATAGCAAATAAATGAAATCAGGGCCAAATTTGGATTTGGTGTAAGCAGGTCTCACTCCTGTATCTTTGGGAACAGGTGAGCACAGCAAAAACCGTTTTCATTGAGACATTAAAAAGTTCAGTAATAAAGACAGTAGCTGTAGTAGTAGCTTGAATTCTCATCTGAGGAAATGGTGCCATCATGTGGCCATTTTGTTTTGTTTGTTTCCAATTATGGGCGGGCACTTTTATAAACTGTTTTCTTCTATTGTTTTGGTTTTTTTTAATACGCTGGAGCGGAGGGGAGCGTAGTGTAAATCCATGTAACTCGTGAAGTCAATGAGGCTATGCTGATTTTTACTTGCTAAGGATCTGGCCTTGGAGTTTTTGATTTATCATCTGATTCCTCACCGTTTTCTGTCCAGTTTGCCGTCAGTCTTGGAGATAAAAATCAGCAAACCCTGCAGAGGACTGAAAGAAGGGAAGTAAGTGTGTGTGTGTGTGCGCGGCGCATTTATGCTGGAGGAGGTGGTGTGTGATTTAAAACCAGAAAACAGATTACATCTGTTTATCAAAAATTGAAAGGATACAAATGACTATAGGATAAATGCTTTCTGCTCTGTGCCTCCTTGTGGGTATGAAGGGCCCTAAGCATAGTAGTGCTAGTCCAGTTCCACTGTGCAAGGATGGAAGAAGGAATCAGGAAGCCTGTTTCAAGGTATACACCCCAAGACGGAGGCAATTTTCAGTGGTAGATGGGAGGAGAGGTCACATACATTGCATGTGTTTTTAAAGCATTCCCCTGAATTTCAAGGAACTATAAAGGTGCAGGATGCTGTTTACAGGCAGGATGCTGTGCTGGATGGACCTATCATCTCTTCTACTCTCCCTATGATCCAAGAGTACATGTCTGAAGAGAAAATGTGAGCGCTAAATCTTGTTTCTTGTAACAGGAATAAATCTTTTAACTTAAAAATAGTTGGAAATGTCATTGGCACTTAGAAACCTATGGTCACCAAGATACTGTGAAAGGAAACTGCCATTTATAACCAGTACATTGCAATTATAAGTAGGCTGCAGAGTGTCAAGAGACATGGGTGGGGATGAAGGCATTGAAGAAGTGTAGGAAGAAAACTCAGGGTCTTCAAGCCTGGAGAACAAAACTCTAAAGGAATCAGAGGAGCTAATACCTGGCCTGTCTCTGGTGCCTTTCATCCAAGGAATTCCAAACAATTTGTAATGGTCATTTAAGGCTCACATCCCTTCTGTAGGTTAGTGCCAGTAGTATTATCCCCATCTTAGGGATGAGGAAACTGAGGCACAAGAGAGTGAAAGACACGCACCACATCATTTCACAAAGCTGGAGTAAACAAGCAGAGGGCAAGCAGAATCCTCCTCCCATCCTGCAGGCAGAGCATGGGGTAGAACCATGGTGGCTGCTCCTCCAGCCCATGGGGCAATGGAGAGGCTGCCATCCCCAGCATGGGAGTTTGTGCTTGCTGGAGGTAGGACATTCAAATCCTGGGCACCGCACAGTTTTATTTGAGGAAGATCCTGTATTTAGTCTTTGTTTAGATGCCAAATGGATTCGTCATAATTGGGCAGACGAGCAGGGAATTGTGCAGGACAGTTTGCGCAGGAAAGGAGAAGAATCTGTGCTGCATAAAATAAAAGTAAAAATCTTTTCAACTAAGATTTCAAGGCAAAGATAGGAAATCAATGGGAAGTGCAAATTCTTGCTCATTTGCCAGACACCTGGAGAGCTTCCACGTTTTTTATTCCATGTTGGGGCAAGGGCTGTTTTCTTTCTTTCAGATGGATTTAGTTATTGGGCTAGAAAATCCAAAGATGTTTGGTGGATTTTAGCAGACAGGCCTTTCTTACACAGAGTACATTACTGACATGTTAATTGTTGTTATACTAGTAAAAATACAGTACTTCCTGTTAGATGTAGACTGCTACATATTTTGATTCTAGCAACAATCTGGTAGGGTTAAAGGCAACTTGTGTAGTGTCATCTGGTGTTTGTTTTAGACAGATACTATACAAAGAGATACTGATTTTCAAGATGTTCAAGCAGATGATAAGGCAAAAACTCCAGTAAACCTTTAAAGCAACAGAAAGCCGGGGTGTTCCTGGTCAGCTCTCACGCAGAGTTGGCAAATGTTCCTCCATCCTCCCACAGCTCCCTACCAGCATTTCCCCTTAAAGTCCCCTTTTGAGGAGGCCACACGGTCATAAGGACCACCCTGAGCAGGACAGGATAGACTTTCAAGCATTTTGATTTGAAAGCAGATCATTCCCGTGAGCAACAGAAAGTTCTCCCACTCGGCTTGGCTTCAGGAGGTAGGATCCTGCTAGAGGCCAGGTATATAAAAGCACTGAACTGCATTACTCCGGTTGTATTTTGGTGTAATTCCATTGAAATCAATGAAAGGTAAAACAGTGGTGAATCAGGCCCCCAAGCTGTTAAATGAAAAGGAAAAATAGTGTAGTGGTTAGGGTGTTAGCTGAGGACTTGGAGACCTGGGTTCAGTTCCCTTTTCTCTTTGACCTGTTCTTTATCATGTGGACTTGTGTTATATTCTCAGTCAGAATCAAGGGGTTGACTACAAATCTTTTGGTGAAATTTTATGAAAATATATTAGCATTCCATTCTAGGTCCTTTCCAGTTCAGGAAATTCAAAATATTTAAGAAATTGACTGGTTCCTCCTCAAAACATAGGACTACCAACATGTTCATGTGTTTTGATGTGAATGCTGAACTTCAGCTGAACCAAATGTCAAATTTATGCAAATCTTCAAGTTTTGACTCCAAAATAAAGTTCCTTTTCACTCAGAAGTGGGTTTACTTTTTAATGAAAACATGTAAAATTTCCAATTTGGAGGGGGGTGGGGGCAACATTGGACAATTTCTTTAATATAAAATGAAAAAATCTTCAGATCTGGAGGATTTCTGTTGCTATTTCGCGGAGTCTTAGTGAGAATGTGGTTCCCATCTCAGAAGGTTAATTTGGGGAAACATTTACTAAGTCTCCAGTGTATTTCAGTCTAGATTTTAGAACATCAGGACTGCAGGTTTAATGTGCCACTGTCTTCTAAATGAGAGCAGGAGTGCTGAAATGAATCAAGCAAAGCCTCCTAAGTGGTACTCAACCTGCTGCACCTCTTTCTGCTCTAAATGCAACACTGAAGAAGCACAGTGATGACTTGTTGAATCGGCAAAGAGAAGACGCTTGAAGTAACCACAGCAGAAATAGCAGATACACAGGCACCCCTTTGTAAATCAGAGTTCAGGATGATTGGCCGCCCACAATTGTTTTGAAGAGTCAGAAGATTGTGTAGCTCCAGCATTTGTGGAGCAGTTTTGTAGAACCAGAAATTGCAGGTTTCCAACAATGCTTGTAGGGAAGCAGAGGGTTGCAACAATAGTGGGCTAAGAGGAGCAGATGGTTCTGCTGGGACCCAGCTGAGCTGAAGTAGCAGAATAAGGTTATATTACTTTGCTCTGATGGGGCATATAAGAGCTAGTCTCTGGGCCACTGACGCACAGTGAGTAAGTGGCAGGACCAAGAAGAGAACCCAGGATTCCAAACTCCTAGGTTCCTGGATTATACACCCCTCTGAGTAGGAAGTGGCATTTTGATGATGGATGGGCACTGACGGGGAGTATGAGAGTTAAATATGCTTTTTCAAAGAAATTAGCAGAAAAAACAGGTTTATCCAGTGTGACATTTCAGGAGAAGCACTGACATGCATTGTGACAGGCATATCAGAATGTATCCCAAGGGTAAAGTAGCGGG